TGTGCTATACTTGTATGATTTCTGTGTGTATCTCCACATGTGCTATACTTGTATGATTTCTGTGTGTATCTCCACATGTGCTATACTTGTACGTATCCTCATACCTTTCAATGTTTCCATAATATTATACATTTGTGTCCATAAATTATAGTGTTGTTTGCTGTGTTACAAGTGTCTATAAATAGTATCATTCAATGCAATGCTGAGCTTCCCTTGACCAGCATTATTTTCATAGGCTAGGCGTATTGTAGAGCGTCTGTCTTCCTTCTCAGAGCTGATGTTAGTCTATACTAAGCAGAGCCATTGTGCTTGCGTTACCCATTCTCTGTGGCGTGTGGTTAGTTGTTCCCAGTTTTATGAAGCACGTTGAGAATTGATGATTGGAAACAAGACGCAAAGACATTTCTTCCTCTGTAGGTAAACAGACCATGGGCTTCCCACTGCTCACTTATCAAGACCGATCGGATAATAAACTCTACCGTCTCCAGACACCTCAAAGCCCGCTAGTGAGACCGTGCATGTATGACTATTATGACATGGACAACTATCCAGTTGGGACAAACGCCATTGTAGCTGTGATCTCCTACACTGGCTATGATATGGAAGATGCCATGGTAAGGGTTGCTAGTCTAGTCTTTTCTCATTGCTGTTTGTGAACTTCCTTAGTGTGAGATCACTGAAGGAATGTTTATGTGTCCTCAAGGACATAATAGCAAGTACATTTAAATGGTTAATTCCTGTCTGAGGTTAATGAAGGGAAACGTTGAAAGATATCCAGTGTACATATATCTTCCCTATCTGTGTACATACTATGGGTAAAGGTTGATGTGAGGTCTTGGTATATTTACCTTTTATGTCTTTGATTATGTCTTAAGCCATATGAGTCTGGATCTTGATAGCATTGGTAATTTGGAAATGCAGTTTCAAAATCAAATGCCAGTTACCCTAAACCAAGTATTAGTAAATCTTAACTGGTTATATTTTGAAAGTTGTTTGCCTGTTGTTGTTTGTTTTTGCTCTTTTGAGAGGCCCGCCACCCAGCTCCCAAATAAATCACACATGGAGGCTTATTCTTAATTATAAATGCCCAGCCTTAGCTTGGCTTATTTCTAGCCAGTTTTCCTTAATTTAAATTAGCCCATCTTCTTTTGGCTTCAGGGGCTTTTATCTTTCTCTTTTCCTGTATACCTTTTCTTTCCTTCTTACTCTGTGTCTGGCTGTATAGTTGGGTGGCTGGCCCCTGGAGTCCTCCTCCTTCGCTGGCTGCTGCTTTTTCTTTCTCATCTGAGATTTCTCCTTCTATTTATCCTCTCTGCCTGCCAGCCCCACCTATCCTTTCTCCTGCTTCGCTATTGGCTGTCCAGTTCTCTATTAGACCATCAGGTGTATTAGACAGGCACAGTAACACAGCTTCACAGAGTTAAACAAATGCAACATAAACAAAAGTAACACACCTTAAAATAATGTTCTACACCGTTTGCCCTCAGTCTTATAAGTTAATTTGGTTCATTGACTCCACAGATTGTGAATAAGGCTTCTTGGGAACGAGGCTTTGCTCATGGAAGTGTCTACAAGTCTGAGTTCATAGACCTCTCTGAAAAATTTAAGCAAGGGGACGATAGTCTTGTGTTTGGGGTCAAGCCTGGCGACCCGCGGGTCATGCAGAAGTTGGACGGTGATGGATTGCCATTCATAGGGGCAAAGCTGCAGTTTGGTGACCCCTACTACAGCTACCTGAACCTCAACACTGGGGAAGGCTTCGTGGTTTACTATAAGTAAGTTTGGGGCCGGGTTGGACTGCTGGCTGGTTTGTTAGTGGGAAGTGTGTCACCAGGAGCCCTCACTGGTCTGGAGCACGCTGTCGGCCAGCCTGGCCCTGATGTAACAGCTGATGTCCCTGCCTCTGCCTCTTAAGTGCCGGATTATCGGCCTGTGCTGCCACCCCGGGCCCCTGTGCTGGTTTTTATAGGCTGTTTCTTAGTGAGATTACTGGGGGTCAGTGAAGTTTTCTCTCAACAGAAGAAGAAAAAATTATATATATATATATAGTAATCTAGTTATTGTTTTCAATCTCTGCTGCTCTAACAAAATACGTAAGACTGGGAAATAAAACAAAGTCTCTCTGTCCTGGGGACTAGAGCATTCAGGATTGAGGCACTGGTGGATTCTCTAAGGTGGACTCCACTGCCTCCGTGTCCTGGCGTGGGGGAAGACGGAAAGGCTAACAGCAGGGAACAGCTCAGACCCCTTTTGTAAAGACACTGTCTGCTGATGAGGCTCCATCCTCAGGACTTAAATCCCTCCTAAAGGCCTCACTCCTAATACACAGCAGTAGAGGTGGAGTCCCACATGAGCAGGGGGTGACCACATTCTGATGATGTCATTCGTGGTCCTTGCGGACGTGTGCACTGCTGAGTCCGGTGCCTTGCTTTTGGGGTGGTGGTCTATCTTTGTTTCCTTCATGCACGGCATTAAGGATGGTTCCTGGCCAAAATACCGGGTTCATTATGCCTCTTCCTAAAGACAATAATTAGCTGCTTTTACAATGATAAAAATGGCTTCAGTGGACTTGCTTGGTATTGCTTTCCATAGCTAATATTCTCTCAGATAAACATAGTTAGTAATTCTAGTCATGAATAACTTTAACATCTATTTATATTGGTGAGCATAAGGGGGATACATTTACATAAACACTCTATGGAACATTAATCATGTCAACAAAATTGAAGTATTTTTATTTTCAAACGAAGCTTGGGTAGGCTTTGTGTCAAAACACCTGTGATTCTAGCACATGGAGACAGAGGCAGGAGGATCACTGCAAGTTCTAGGTCAGCATTGCAGGCTAGCCAAGGCTAGCCTAGTGAGACTCAGCAAACAGAGCGAATAGCTTGACTTTTTATTTCATGGGTTTTTTCCTAGGAGTAAAGAAAACTGTGTTGTGGACAACATCAAAGTGTGTAGTAACGATGCGGGCAGTGGGAAGTTCAAGTGTATCTGTATTACCATACGAGTCCCTCGGAATCCAACGATTGGAGATAAGTTTGCCAGCCGTCACGGACAGAAGGGCATTCTGAGCAGGTTGTGGCCAGCTGAGGACATGCCTTTTACTGAGAGCGGCATGGTGCCAGACATTCTGTTTAACCCGCATGGCTTTCCCTCCCGCATGACCATCGGTATGTTAATCGAAAGTATGGCTGGGAAGTCTGCGGCTCTGCACGGTCTCTGCCATGACGCCACGCCCTTCGTCTTCTCTGAGGAGAGCTCCGCCTTGGGGTACTTTGGGGAGATGTTAAAGGCGGCTGGCTACAACTTCTATGGCACCGAGAGGTTGTACAGCGGCATTAGCGGGATGGAGCTGGAAGCAGATATTTTCATCGGTGTGGTTTATTACCAGCGCTTACGCCACATGGTGTCAGACAAATTTCAAGTTAGGACAACTGGCGCCAGGGACAAAGTCACCAACCAGCCTGTCGGGGGAAGAAACGTCCAGGGTGGGATCCGCTTTGGGGAGATGGAACGGGATGCTCTCTTGGCACATGGTACGTCCTTTCTCCTTCACGATCGGCTCTTCAACTGCTCTGACCGCTCGGTGGCCCACGTATGTGTGAAATGTGGCAGTTTGCTCTCCCCGCTGCTCGAGAAACCTCCTCCGTCGTGGTCTGCAATGCGCAACAGAAAATACAACTGCGCTGTCTGTGGCCGCAGTGACACCATCGACACTGTCTCTGTGCCGTATGTGTTCCGGTATTTCGTAGCCGAGTTGGCAGCTATGAATATCAAAGTAAAACTGGATGTCATTTAACTCGATCCCGGCCGTTAGCCTTTCAGGCAGATGCCTAGCCAGCGCCCAGGGTCCTCCGGCCGTGCATCATGTAATCTGTGCACATGCACTGTGTGGCGAGCACTGTGCTGGGACCCCTTTAAAGCCGAGCTCCACCCATTCCTCGCTCTTTCCCACCGCTCCTCCTAGAGGCAAGCAGGCAGACAGGCCTTTGCGCCTCTCCCTTCTCTTCTTTTCTCCTCAACTCGTCCGTCCCCCCTCCCCCATAAGACCTCCATGTGAACCCTGACGCATAGTATGTCTGTCTGTCTGTCTGTCTGCTCTTGCCCACCTTTTTTTTTTTTTTTTTTTTTAAACAACATTGGTGACTTGTGACTTGGCAGGCCATCCTGGTGCTGGCAGTCTGGGGTACACCGGAACCCTGAACCTGTTTCATCTACGACCCCCTCCTCACAGCACCAGCCACTATGATTATTGAGTCTCCCCTCTTCCAGTCAGCATAAACACTTCCCTGGACCTGTGGGAACAACCGATGACCCTCCGGTGCCCCATGGGGGGGATGGGGGGATGGGGGGAGGGCCGGGCAGCACCACCTTCAGGGCTACGCTGGTCCCTTTTGCCAGCCATCACCTCTGGCCATTCCCCCATGAGTGAGGTCTCGTTTCTCGTCTATGGCACCTACGTGTCCCTTGGCCCCTGCCCTCTGTGTGATGACTCACTGGGCAGCTTGTTCATGTCTCATCTCTCTGACCCAAACATCCCTCGGGCTTAGCCCTGACCCCTGCTCTGTGTTTGACAAATCACTAAGCAGCCTATGCTATCTCAATTGATCCTCGCTTAATTTCTGGGATGCTAGAAATTTTCAAGCCATTGGATCTCAGTTTTTTCATTTTGTTTTTTCTCCTCTGCCCCACCCCCATGGGGAATAAGCCTAACAGTAATATAAGCCCGACATCTCCTCTGGAATGTCTTTAGAAAAACCTTAAACCTCTACGCTTAATGCCCTGCTTAAAGACTTCTAAACTCATCTGCCTTTGCACCCAGAAATGGCCTAAATATCACTTAGATAACCAGTTAAAATGGCCACCTAATGTCACTTTATACCTCAATATTTTATAGGAGCTTTCCAGCTTTTGCCCGCGGATGGGTAGATGGAAGGAGTTGCCTTACATACAAGCTTTCCATAAAAGAATTCCAATATATTACCCAATCTTATAGTCTCACCTTTCATGATACATATATGATCCTAACTAACAACCTGTTTCCTGAGGAGCACAAGCAAGTTTGAGAACAGGTTAAAATACATGCAGACAAAATTCATCAAACTAATGCAGCACGTCCACCTAGGGCCAAGGTGGTCCCCGATCGGTGGAGACCCACGATGAGATTATAACACCCCAAGAGGTGCTCTAGCTAGAGACCAGTTTACAACCTGGCTCCTGGAGGATCTCTGTAAGACTGCCCTTAAACCAGTGAACTATGGAGAAACTCCCAGACTCAAAAAGGAGACTCACAGAACAAATTTCAGAATAACTCTTTATTATTGCCTGCCCTCAGCAATGAACCGCCTGTGTCTCCTGGGGGCTAAGGTGTCACTATGATGATGGGAAAGGAACAGGTGCTTTAAGGTTTGGTTAGGTGGAGATAGAAAAGCTTAATTGATGGTAAGGAGAGAATGATTTGAGGTGTTCCAGCAGTCTCAATAACCCAGCGCCCTCATTGCCCGCCCACTTGCCACCCCTAACTCCTCGCTTTTTTCTAATAAACAAAAGAGGGGAATGTTAGCATTTCAGGCAAATACTTAGCTAGCACCCAGGGCCTTAGGGTCCTATGTTACCTAATCTATGCACTGTGTGGCTGTGTAAGCCTCTATTCACATGCACTAAGACCCCCTTTAAAGGCAAGCTCCGCCCATTCCTCTTTCCCACTGCCCCTCCCAGAGGCAGGCAGACCTTTGCGTCTCTCCCTTCCAATCCCTCCTCTCCTTCTCTCAACTCTTGTCTTCCCCCCTCAATAAACCCTCCTCGTGAGCCCTGTTACATGGTGTGCCTTTCGGCTCTCGCCTGCTGTTTTTAATAACACCAGCCATCTGAGTTAAGAGATTAGAACAAAAGGTGACTTTAATCCCGTGAAGATATTATGGGTTCACTCTGAATCTATACAAGAATTTCAATACTGACGCCAAGAACAGGCAGCTGAGAATTCAAGACTTCCGTGCCTCCGAAACCTGCTGAAGTTGGTCTGTTACATTTGTTTAAAAATGTTCTTAAATGACTTCTTTACAATGATTTGTTGGTCACAGATCATGCAGGGACACCTCCTTTCCAGGCCCAGGTTCACTGCTCCCTGCTTTCAGTAGCAGTGTTTGTCATCATCCAGAGCAGGACAGTATAATAAACAGAAAATGGAAGCCACAAATGGAATTTTTATTTTTATATACATGTAAAGTTAAGCTATTTCATGTATATAATTTAATGGATTATAACATAGGTATAGTCTGTGATATCATCATGGTCAAGGTAAATAAACATATCTTGTCATCTCCAAAGTTTCCTTGTACACATTTGGGTGGGTGGTGCATACGTGCGTGCATGTATGCATGTGTGTGTTGTGTTCTCTTCACAGTTCCAAGTGCAATTGTCAGCTACAAGCAGCTCTCTATTTCCCTGACCTTCAGCAAAAGCCATTCTACTCTGTGTCTGTGAGTTCGGCTTTTTCAGTAACTCATAGTGGGATCATGCAGGCCTGTCCATGTTTCACTTAGCATGGTGTCCTCAAGGTTCAGCCATGTCTTCAAATTGGCAGGACTTCCTCCACCTTTAAGGCTGAATGTATCTGATTAGTGAGCAGCTGTGGTCCTTTGCTTATTTTTTTTAACCTTTGTATAAGTTTCTTGTACTCTGTAGGGTTTTGTGTGTGCTTGTGTATAATATCTTATCCAGCTGTATTGTTCCCTGTTAATGGGTGTTTGGAAACATCCATGGGAAACACCTTGAATGGTTGATACTTCCCCTTGCTGTTAAGAGAAGCTCAGCTTTGGACCCAGCTACCCCATTCTCTGTCTGCCTCACAGTCCTGTGGCTGAGGGTACTGTTCACATCTAGTGTCACAGATAGGTGTGGTTTTGAGGGCCTTGTTGTTGAAAGTAGGATTCACTATGGAGCCAAGATTGGCTATGAACAAGTCATCTTCCTGCCTCAGCCTCCAGAGTGGTAAAATTATCAACATGTACCACAATGCCCAGCTAAATTGGTTTTATTTTGATAAAGGGTTTCTCTGTAGTCCTGGCTGTCCTCACTCTGTAGACCAGGCTAGCCTTGAACTCAGAGATTGCCTGCCTCTGCTTCCCAAGTGCTAGGATTAAAGGCGTGCACAATCCCTGCCCAGCACCAGCTAATTTTTAAAAAATTAACTTTTACCCTGTCTCAAAAAAAACCAAAAAACAAACAAACAACAAAATAAAACAAAAATTAACTTTTGATCTTGTAGATTCTTTGTTGTTGTTGTTGTTTTAAGACAGGGTTTCTCTGTGTAGCTTTGCGCCTTTCCTAGAACTTACTTGGTAGCCCAAGCTGGCCTCAAACTCACAGAAATCCACCTGGAGTGCTGGGATTCAAGGTGTGCACCACCACCACCCAGCTGATCTTGTAGATTCTTAACCAATAAATTGACATGAATTTAAGACAACCCAAAAAAAAAATTACTCAAAATTTTCCAATTTTATGTATTCTTACATATAGTTGTATGGAATATTATCCTCTGTGTAGACTGGTGTTACACATAGGACACTTCTGTTAATATCGCTAACCCTTCAATCCTTGTCTATAATAATTGAGAAATACTGTAAAGAGAATCGTAAAAAATCATATTTTGAGACTCATTTTTTTAACTTAACAGAATTCCCCTTTAATTCATCTAAATTGTATATATTAATTCATGCCTTTGTATTGCTGTATAGTACTCCAAAGTATGGGTGGACTAGTTTAACCATGCACTTGGAAGAACATTTATCTGGGACAAATGTTGACGAGAACAATTACTGAGTCATAGTTCTATAAGATATAGCCATGGGGCTGGGGAAGTGGCTAAATACAGTGCTTGCTATGCAAGTATTAGGACCTGAGTTCGGATTGCCGGTGCCCACACAGAAGGTACAGCAGGGCACACTCGGAATACCAGTGCTGGGGTGTGGAGACAGGATCCCAGGGGCTCACTGGCCTGCCAGTCAAACCTTGGTGAGCTCCAGGTTCAGTGAAATACCCTGTCTCCAAAAAGTTAGGGTGCAAAGCAGTGGAGGAAGACACCTGCCACTGTCCTCTGGGCTGCACACGCAGTCATGCACCTGCACATGCAGTCATGCACCTGCACACACACCATACACACTGAATGGACCTGGTATTTGGCACAAGAAACCCCAAGACTAAGTTCTCAGCACAAAGGAGATTTTTTGCTAAAGGGGGACAAAAAGTAGGGAATCAGAGACAGAGACAGGACACAGAGGCAAAGGAGAAGGGGAAGGAACATTTGTCAGCAACAAGGGAGATGGGAAAGGGATATTTGTCCTGGAGGGACAAAGGACCGCCTCTGGATAGAGAGGAAGCAGATGTGGCACATAGACAAATGGCAGTTTATAAAGGGAAAGGAAACCCTGTGTTAGGATGAGGTGTTCAATTTTGGCTGGATATGTTAATTAGTGAGCCAAAGGGGGCTTTTGATTGCTGGACTTCAATACTTTGATAGCTGGACCTTGGTAGTCAGCCTCAGGAGGAAGTGGCCAAGTAAAGGAATAGACATTAGAGCTAGCTTTAGGAATGGAATTTCATGGTTTTTAGCTAAGCGCCGAGAATGGGGGAGAAGGGCAAGGCCTGCCAGCCATGTTTGGTCTGACTAGAGTCCTTTTCCCAGCTCCCTCTCCTCAGCAGCTGCTGCTGTTTACAGCTTGCCTGCCCTGGTGTTTTCTCTCAAACTAACAACATCGTCCTTGAGCTTCCTAACAAATACATTTTAAAAGTCTTTCATGGACGGCTCCCCCAAAGGGAACCCCAGTAACAAGCAATTCTGAGATTGTCATTTCTCAGATCTGCTTCGCTTCAAACATTATGGTTCTCTACATTTGACTTAGTCACACTCTTGACAGAGTCACTAGCCAAAAGGCAACTGAAGTCTGGAGGTACGAGTGTCATGTTTCCCAAAGATGAAAGTGTCATGTGTAGTGTGGCTTCAGTCTTGCATCTGTCTCGTGAAGCAGACACAGATGGCCGGGAGCTGTCATCCCTTGTCAACAGTCTACCACAGAACTCAAGATTACAACCTCCAGTCAACACCTCCTTTACCCGGAACTGCTGTGTTCAGGCGCTGAGCCCTTCTCTTGCGCTACGTCTGGTATGAAGGAGGCTACCGCAGTCATCCCCCATCTCACAGCCGCATACCGCGGTGGTTTTTGCTTTCAGAAGACCTCTTCCTACTAGATGAACAGACGCTCAATTCTCTGAGAAAGGAGCATTTAGCCTTTTAAACAGGGACATGGACTCCCGGGTCTAGCCTTATCATCTGAAGGCATAGATGGAGGGTGGAAACCACAACAAGGTGAGTTACAGAGGAAGTAATTTGTCCACGATTGCAAGGAGAGCAAGCAATAAAACCCGCTTTCATCCTGCTTTACCACCTACGCCGGGAAAAGGACATGTATGAGTTAATAACGGAAGGGAGGCCCCATGTGGCTATTAGGAGGGGAGTGTGCACCGGCGTAAAGCCGACGGCTCAGCGGAGAGGTCAGCCCCCTGTTCCCGAGCCCGGCGGCGGCGGGCATGGTTGCCGACTCAGCCGCAGCGTGTGGAGGGCCGCAGCCACGCCGGCCGGAGGCTGCTGACTCCAGCCAGGAAAGCGCCAGCGCCAGCGGCTGCAGACCGCAGAGACCCACAGCTAACCCGACTCGCTCCGGTGCCGAGCTGCAGCGGCACTTCCGATCTCCTACTTCCGGTGAGCTCCAAGCGCCGCCGCTACCACCGCAAGCCGGAAGTAAAAGAAAAAAAGCTAAACTGAAAGAAAAAAAAGCCGGCGGACCGGAAGTAGTTACGTGAGGTCCCGCCCGGACAAGCCGGGAGCCGGAAGGCGAGGCAGAGCGCTGCCATGATGGTTGAACTTAGGTGGGATGAGCGGCCGGACTCTCGGCGACCGGAAGAGTGAGGCGGGGAGGTATGGGTTGGGCGCTGCCATGTCAACCTGATACCGGAAAAGGCGGGTCTCTTCTCCCTGACTGATCGGCGGCTGAACTCGCCTGGAGATGTGAGTTATAACTCCCTACAACTCTAGGTCATGCTTAGCAGGCTGCATGATCCCCAATGGGAAACGCCTGCACTCAAGGCTGGAGATACCCCGGGCCTGCCTCACCGTAACCAGACTTTCAGAACTTCCACTGTCTTTCTAAAAACTCCCATCCTGTACCACAACGCCCAGGGCTCAGCCCTTACTTCTGCCCCTCGTTGGTTGTCCCTATCATAGGACCCTTAAAATTTACAAATCTATCCTGGATCCCTAGGCTAACCACAGACCCAAATCGGAACTTTTTCTTGTCTACTCTTGAGATTATCTTCAGCTTACCCTGTCCCACAGGCAGGCAGCCCTGGAAGTCACTGCTCGATACTGCAGCCGGGAGCTGGATCAGTATGGCCAATGTGTGGCAGCCAAGCCTGAATCTTGGCATCGGGATTGTCACCACCTTAAGATGAGCATTGCTCGCTGCACATCCTCCCAGTGAGTGTAAAAGTGGGGCTAGAGGGTGCCAGGCAGTGGGGTGTGAATGCTCCGGGTCTGAAATGCCCTGCTCCCACAGCCCCATCATCCGCCAGATCCGCCAGGCCTGCGCTGAACCTTTTGAAGCTTTTGAGGAGTGTCTTCGCTTGAATGAGGCAGCGGTTGGCAACTGTGCGGAACACATGCGCCGCTTCCTGCAGTGTGCTGAGCAGGTGCAGCCGCCAAGTTCACCCACAACTGGAGAGGTAAAGGAGGCTCACTTAGATCATCTTTTCCCCTTCACAACTCCCTTCATTTTCTAGCTCAAAGTAAATACCTTTAAGTCCTAGCCACACCTGATTCCCACACCTGCCTTGGTTGTGAATCCAGAGCCCAAAGCACGGTTCTCTGCTCCAAGCTGCAGCCTCTGCTTTAGTCTCACCATCTTTCATACTCCTCCTCTGCCAGGGCACCTGCCCCAGCCTTCTCCCTGGCTTGCCTGAACCTCTTGCTTCCATATAACAACCTGAATTCTGGTCACATTGCACCCTTGCTTAAAACTCTCCAGTGGTTTCCCCTTCAGACTGGGAACGCGTCTCTGATTCTTACTGGATCCCTTGTGTTCTTCCCTTCCTTGCCCATCGTATCCTCTTCATGGCTTTCAGCTGTGCTGGTGGGGGTGAGGAATGGGGTGGAGGGATTCACACACACACACATGTTCTTTTTGTGTACACTGTATATACACATATACAGTATATCTGAGATAATAAAATGTTATTGATGGGGCAATTAGAAAAAGCCTTAACATGCTCTGGGGTTGGCAGAAATGGAAGCGTGAGAAACACTCCTTTGGATGTTTCCTGCTGGACCATTCCAACGGGAAAATTCACTCCTTAAACCACCCTCCTCCGAGCACCTCTCATGGGCTCCTCTGTCCCTGCAACCCTGGGCTTCAACGTCTTCTGGACTTCTGTGTTGGTCCATTTGTCCTTTCTAATCCTTCTTCTGTGATGGTCCCAGAGTGTTCTCAGAGGAAATCTTACCAAGTTTGCTTCTACATGGAAACCTCTGTGATTTCCCTTTTGCCAGACTGGTTCTCATCTCCAGTGCCACCTCATTCCGATGACTCTGGTCCCACCTCTTCCACCTC